GCAATATTGGGCTCTCTGGGAACTTGGTGCCTCGCCTCTTCCTTTCAGACTTTGTCTGCCATGACACGCCGAACAGGCCCTCTTCCTTGAGCTCGATCTCGTGCGGCTTGACGTGGATCGCGTCGTCGAACCGCAGAGACGCGAAGATCATGCAAAGGATCCACCAAACAAAGATCTCGGCCTCGTTGAACTCGTCGCGCATCACGAACTTTTCCATGGCAGCCACCACCGGTATCGGAAAGGGGATCGCTTCTTTGAGCGGCTTGCCTCGCTTGTCGAACACGGATTTCTCCAGCGCCATGACCTCCGCGGTGTCGAGCGACGGGATCTCCAAGTTGATCCTGAACGCCACCCATCTGACTGCGGTCCTTAATGACGGGATCACCGTCGGGCCGCATTCCTTCGAATCCAGAAAGAGACAGTACTTAAGGAACTTATCATCAGAAAAAGGATAGAGAGGGAAGGAGCTCTTCGCAGCCCACAGCTCCAGCTTCTCGAACTTCCGGATGTAGTTCGACATAGTAGCCGGGGCTCCCGAGGTGAGCACCAGGAGCTGTAGCCGCGATCGCTCTTCATTCGAGAGGATCTCCGCCGCCGGGCTGGTTGTTGCGTGGGAGCCGGCTCGGTCGGCAATCGCCTGCAACCTGGCTGCCCACTTCTGCTTCTCTGCGAGCTCCTGGTCGAGCAGCGGTGTAGTTGACGAACTCGCCGGCGACAACGAAGATCTCGACTTTGCCTTTGGCGCCCAGACCGGGCCGGCGAGCGCTCTGATCGCCATGCCGCGCTGGAACTCTGCGATCGACTTCTCCGTCCGCTGCCTCGGAATTTTCGCGCATCGAGCGAAGCCCATCTGGTAGCCGAGCGACTCGTTGAAGACCACCTCGGCTGCTTTGACGAAGGTCCAGTACTGCTCGAGCATCTGTGTTCTGGAAGTCAGCTGATCGTGGACCTCCGGCGCCGATCCCGCCGTCCATTCGAAGACCTTTGCCGCGAACTGGCTCGCCGTATCCACCTCGATCGCCAGGACGAACTGGAGGTTCGCGAGCCTGGATCCCACAATCGCCTCGCGAAAGCCATGATCAAAACTGGGAAAGGAGAGGATCTTTACGGTNNATCGGCGGGCGCCGCTTCTTGCAGCATCCTGCCTATAGCGAAAGCTTTGCCGGTTCCCCCAGTGCCTTCGCCCAAGAACTTCAAGTGCACTAGACCTTTACTGCATTAGACCTTTAACAGCAGTGCTGGCACTGAACATGCAGAGTGAGGCGCACAGCAATCATGAACATGTTGCGCACAAACTGAAAAGCACTGAACAAGACGACTGCAAATCCGATCTGGCAACCTCTTCCCGAGGGACCTCTCCTTTTTTACGCGCGAACGCACAATCTGTGTGACGCAGATCCAAAATTAAACCGCTCTGGCAAAATGAGCACGGCCTGGAGCTTCCCGCTCCTGAAAAGGACATATGCCCATCTCCCCCGATCTGTTCATGGGGTACGGTGGGGCCTGAACGAGACTGGGTCGCCCGATGGGGGCTGAAGGTCCTGCTGATCAGCCGCTTCACTGAGTACATGCTGGCGACCGCCGCTGCCCCTTCCGGCTCTGCCGCATCGATCTCGGAGACCACGACTGTAGATGGCTGAGATCTCGCCCCTCGAGCTGCATAGCCAGGCCCACCCGTCATCTCCGCGAACAGCGCCGGGGTGAGCTTTGCCGTCGAGCGAGCGAAGGTGCGATCATCTTTGGCGGCATCCCGGGTGGCATCCTTCACGTGTCCATAGGCTGACTCATCCGAGTCACTGGCGACCGCCTCCGTGGACGCGATCGCGCCAAAAGCTCGTTGTTCCATCTCAATCTTGTTGCGCTGACGTAGCGCCACCGCTGAGCTGCCCGACGGCTGATCTGCAATGGCGATCCCTGCCTCCTGCGCTGCCGACGACCAGGCATCCATGGCGAGCGCCAGTGGCAGCAGCGCCTTCATGAGACATCGCAGCCACCGGGACCACGACCGGCTCGCGAACGA